CTCTCGGGTGGAATCCATTCTGGCCCCATAGACTTGCGTGTGTCCGGGTGGTGTAGCAGGTCATTAACTGCTTCCTCCTGAATCATGGGAAGGTTATTCTGCTCTTAAAAAATGTAATCCAATTTAAGGTTTGACCTATAATTATTATATATTATACTGGAAAGCTCCAGCCTCCTAGCCCCGCGGAGAGAGGGATTTTAAAAATAGTACCTGAGCCAGGCCTGAAGTAGGGTAACACATGCTGCAACTGCCAAATAAGTAGAGTGGGTTGAAGAAGGAATGGTGGAACACAATGTTATGATTTATTGCTAGATAGTTCCCTCATGAGTTAATAAAGTTGTAGCCAAATTAAAGCAGATACTGTACATTCAATACTTCCAGGCATTTAATTTGTATAGCTCTTATCCTTGTCAGCATTAAAGCTGCTTTTTAGGAACAGAATGAGACCCTCTGATGGTTATACTTAGTAACAGCCTACATAACTTTTAAAAATAGTACTATAGTAAAATAAATTATGTTTCAGTTCAGTACTGTAAGTGTATATGCATAGCTTTTTCTTCTCTGTGAGCTCATTGCTTAGCATGTTGCCAAACTTACAAATAACTTAAAATCAATAGAGTTGGTAAATTCTCTCAGTTTTATTTTCGGTGAATTATACAAAGTCCATTTGAAGAATCTGTAAATCTCATGGAGAAATAACAGCAGTGTACCATAATATTATACAAACAGCAGCCTACCATGAGAGTTTACAGGTGGCGTGGTAGGGAGGTTATATGTTGTTTTGGATACATAGAAAGTAAAATTTATAATGAAAAATATAAAACCAAATATGGTCTCTACCAACTGCACAATAAAGACTATAATCTCTTAGGGGTTCATATCTCAACTAAAATCCCTCTTTGTTTAGATTTCTAAGGAAAGCCCTAGTATTTTCTGTATGTCTTGTACAGCAACCTTTCAGACAATTTTCAGTGCTTATACCAAGGGACTTTCTTTGCCAATTCAGTTAACTGAAGGAGAGGAATACTGATTCCACATGCAATCCGTAATAAAAATTCTGTTGTGTTCCTCATACATTCTCATTATCAAGAGTGAGTGGGAATACACTTTATCAGTGAAGCTCTTGTCATAAAGGTTTTATTTGCCATTTAGAAGCTCTTGCCTTTTGATCAAAAGAAAACATAAAGCTGAAATACTATGTTAATTTGTATTTTCTTATGAAATTTTCAGATGTCTCATACCTTTGAGTTTAATCTAGAGATAGCATGATTTTTCCAAATGCTTATCTGTGTATATGTAAATCATGATCTAAACTGCACTGTGAGTAAAGAGGAAATGTTATTTATAAAAAATGGATCAGTATAAGTGTAAAACAAGCTTTTTATGAAGTTGCAGCTAGGCCAGCACCCCTACTGTTCTTTCCAGGGTTTGGAAAGGGAACTATTTAAAGTAATAGGCTCACCATATGGGAAGAAATAATTTAATGTTGAAAAATTTTCTCAGAGGCAAAAAATATCAAAACTATCCTGTTCCTGTTCTTATAGTTCATATGAATATTTTGGAATTTTCCAACTACAGAAGAAATTCTATATGGGACTGTAAATTCAGGGAATATATCTCATTCATCATCCTATTCTGTTGATTTAAGAAAAATTTTAAATTGCCTGCAAGTGCTATAATTTCTATAAGACTGAGTATGCTCTGATATTGTCTATGCATTAGTCCTGTATTAGGAAAAGTATGTGTCACTTAATAATATAAGTTCTTACCTAGATGCTTAAACCACAGGCACTGAGCGCACAAGCTAGGTACGTTGCATCAAGGTATTCTTACAAACGCATAATTTGCTATTGATTTAGGTTGGAAAGGATATCTGGAGGTCATCCAACTTAACCTTCTGCTCAGAGCAGGGGAAACTTCAAAGTTGAATCAGGTTTCTTAAGGCCTTGCCCAGTGGAGTTTGGAAAATATCCAAGGATGGCGTTTCCATAGCCTCTCTGGGCAGCTTGCTCTAGTGCTTAACCACTGTCTTGGGGAAGAATTGTTTTCCTGGTGATCAGTTAAAATTTCCCCTGTTGTAACTAGTAACTGTTGTCTTTTGCCCTGTCATTGTGTACCTCAAGAAGAGTCTGGCTCCATCTTCTCTGTAATCATCTATTAAGATCGGAGAACTCCTATTGGATGTCCCTCTCATCTTCCCTCTTGCTGGCTAAACAAGTCCAGTTCCCTCAGCCTCTTCTCATACATCAAGCACTGATCCTGCTAGGGGACTTCAATCACCCTGAAATCTGCTGGAAAAGCAGCACAGCAAGCTGTATGTAGTCCAGGAGACTCTTGGAGCGCACTGAGGATAATTTCTTAATCCAGGTGATAGGCAGCCTAACCAGAGGAGAAGCATTACTGGACTTGTTGCTTACCAACACAGATGAACTAATTAGTGAGTTCAAGACTGATGGCAGGCTGGGCTGCAGTGGTCATAGAATCACAGAATGGTTTGGGTTGGAAGGGATCTTAAAGATCATCAAGTTCCAACCCCCCTGCTGTGGGCAGGGACACCTTCCACTAGACCATGTTTCTCAAAGCCTCATCCAGCCTGGCCTTGAACACCTCCAGGAATGGGGCATCCACAGCTTCCCTGGGCAACCCAGTGCGTAACCACCCTCACAGGAAAAAATGTCTTCCTAATATCTTATCTAAATCTACCCTCTTTCAGCTGAAAACCATTACACTTCATCCTATCACTACACTCCTGGAGTTCCTCCCCATCTTTCCTATAGGTCCCCCTCAGCTACTGGAAGTCTGCTGTAAGGTCTCCCCGGAGCCTTCTCTTCTCCAGTCTGAACAACCCCAACTCTCTCAGACTGTCTTCATGCAGGAAGTGCTCCAGCCCCCTGATCATCATCCTGGCCCTCATCTGAACTTGCTCCAACAGATCCATGCCCTTCCTGTGCTGAGGACTTCAGACCTGAAGGTTCCTCATGGGGGGGCGCCCCAGTGTCCCTTGGGGGGGTCCCAGTGTCCCTTGGGGGGGCCCCAGTGTCCCTGGTGGGGGGGAGTATTGGGGTCCCAGGTGTGTTTTGGAGTCCCAGGGGGTGCCTGGGGAGGTCTGGGCGTGCACCCCCTCACTTGCTGGCACTAGCTGTAGAGCTTGAGAAGAATGTAACAGGGGGCTGGGACCATCCCCCTCCCCCCCCCTGCAGCCACCCTCTGGTCACAGCCATTGATGTAGAGATGGAGCTGCCCCTCCCCGTCCACCAGCAGCCACACCAGTGTCCCGGCTGGCAGCAGGTGCAGATTTGGCTCACCCCCCTAAGGATCTTGAACTCCACTGTTTTGTGGTCACTGCAGCCCAGGCTGCCCTTGAGCTTCACATTCCCACCAGCTCTTCCTTGTTGGTGAGAACAAGGCCCAGCATAGCACTTCTCGTTGTTGGCTCCTCGATCACTTGGAGAAAGAAGTTATCATCAGTGCATTCCAGGAACTTCCTGGCTTGCTTATGGCCTACTGTGTGTCCCTCCAGCAGATACTGGGGTGGTTGAAGTCTCCCATGAAGACGAAGGCTTGTGAATGTGAGGCTGCTCCTGTCTGTCTATAGAGGACCTCATCCGCTCGCTCTTCCTTGTTGGGTGGCAGGTAGCAAACCCCCTTAGCAGCCCTCCCTTTAATTATGACCCAGAAGATCACAGTTGGCTTCTCCTTCATACACAGGCAGAGCTCTGTGCACTCCAGCTGGTCATCGTGCCCTGGTACAACCCATGAGCTTGAGGGATATAGGCCAGGTGAAGAGTAAAACCAGAATCCTGAATTTTAGGAGAGTGAACTTTCAGTTGTTCAAGGAATTAGTGGATGGGACACTGTTGTGCTTTGAACCTGCTTGGCTATCAGCAAAACACCACATTTTTATGTGACTTGTTGAAATTCATCTTTTGGCAGCTCTGTTCAAACATTGGAACAGGCTGCCCGGGGAAGCGATTCACTGTTGTGGTTTTACTCAGGGTGGCTGCAAAACACAACACCTCTCACTCACCCTCTCCCTTCCCTCCCTCCCAGGGAAGGAGGGGAGAATTAAGGGAATGAAGGGAAAAGAGGGTCATGGGTTGAAATAAGAACAATTTAATAACTAAACTACAATAATATTGGAAATAATAATAATAATATTGGTAATAATAGTAATATATACAAATATACAAATGAGTCATACACAGTGGTACTGCTCACCACCTGATGACCGAGGTTCAGCCTGTTCCTGGCTAATGATCCCGAAGCAGAGACAGTCCCAAAACCGCAGTCCCAGAACTGAGATATCCCAAGTGTTCAAGAGACCGAGATGAACTTGAGAGAAGGGTGACCCAGAGGGAGATAACCTGGAGCAAGAGAGAACTTCCAGAGAAGACCCTCATCTATATATTATTCTATGATTCTCTTTGGACATTTTCCTTAGAACGCAAGAGCTGTCAATTCCCACAGGCAAGAGATCAGTCAAGGAAGGCTGGAGACTGGAATGGCTGAGTAAGGGCCTCCTGGTCAGACTGAAGTGGAAGAACAAAATGCATAGGCAGTGGAACCAGGGACAAGTATCCTGGAAAGAATACAGGGACGCTGCCCAGATGTGTAGACATGAGATCAGGAAAGCTAGGCCACAGATGGAGCTGAGATTGGCAAGAAATTAGAAGAATATGACAGGCTTCTACAGGGACTTTGGTCAGAAAAGGAAGACTACAAGAAAATGTACGCAGACACACACAAACACAATAATTAAGGCAGAACTAGTGACAACAGACTTAAGAAGGCTCAGGTACTCAACGATTTCTTTGCCTGAGTTGTCACTGGTAATTACTCTTCCAATATCTCTCAATTCTGAACATCAAGGAAGGGACTGGGGGAACAAAGTACATCCCGTCATAGGAGAGAATCAGATTCAAGACCACCTGAGAAACTTGAGTGTACACAAGTCCATGGGACCTGATGAGATCCATCCCACCGTCCTGAGGGAACTGGCAGATGTAGTTGCTAAGCCACTCTGCATCATATTTGAAAAATGGCAGCCAAACAAAGTTCTCAGTGAGTGCAGAAAAGGGAATATCACACCCATTTTTAAAAAAGGATAGAAAGGAGAACCCTGGTAACTACTGACCAGTCAGCCTCACCTTGGTGCCTCATAAGATTGTAGAGCAGATCCTCCTGGAAGTTATGTCAAAACATGGAAGACAGAAGTCACTAGAGACAGCCAACATGGCTTAACCAAGGGTAGATCGTGCCTGGCTAATCTCGTGGCCTTCTGTGATGGAGTGACTGCACCAGTGGACAAGGGAAAAGTTACTGATATTATCCACCTTGGCTTCTGTAAGGCCTTTGGTACGGTCCCACAAAACATTCTTCTCTTTCCCCTAAACTGGAGATAGATGAGTTTGATGGATGGACTGTTAGATAAGGAATCAGCTGAGTTGTCATGCGTAAGGAGTTACAGTGACTCAATGTCCAAGACGAAACCAGTAATAAGTAACCCCCAATACTGTTTAATGTCTTCATCAATGACAGACTTAGGTAGGATTGAGTGCACCCTCAACAAGTTTGTAGATGACACCAAGTCATTGTTTGTAGATGACTCTAGTTGATTCACTAGAGGCAAAAGGGACCATGACAGGCTTGAGGAGTGGGCCCATGTGAACCTCATGAAGTGGCCCAAAACTGGACGCAGTATTCTAGGTTTGGCCTCACTAGTGTCAAATAGAGGGGCACAATCGCTTCTTTCAGCCTTCTGGCTGCACCCTTCCTATACCCTTGCTCTGAATAAACAATGTCCAGACTTCCAGTGAGTCAGATGTTGTCCACATCTATCACAGGACCAAGTTTTTCATATCTTTCAGTATCCGATTATCTTCTGTGTTGTGTTAATACAGATATTAATGAGTGTGCATTGGATCCTGATATTTGCTCCAATGGAATTTGTGAAAACTTACGTGGCAGCTATCGTTGTAACTGTAACAGTGGCTATGAGCCTGATCCTTCTGGAAGGAATTGTGTGGGTAAGTTGCTGAATATTTTATTGTTTTTGAGTAATTCATCACTACATTGATGTTATTTTGAATTGGTAGAATTTAAGTTGCAAGACAGCTAATTCTTAAAGCTACAATGAAAATGCAAAAAAAAGTTGTAATGAAACTGCTTTTCTCTTTCACTGCATAGATAGTATTCTTCCTGGTGTATTTTCTTGTTATTTGGTGCGAGGGTATTACTGTTTGGGAAGTGTAAGCAGGAGGTACCATTGCAGGTTAGGAATTAATTTTCTCAGTAACATAGATCAGTTTGTGTTACATTTTAATGTATAACACTAAACCATCTAAAATGTGTTCCTTTCAAGGCTGGTTGATAGTTTGTCAAGAGCTGAAGGTCACAGTTTTGCATACTGAAATGTAACAGATGGCTGTCATTATCATAATGAATGACAACTAGTGGCCTATGTGCACAATCTCTGCAGTATGGAATAACTCATGATGTCACCAAGTTACATAAGTGCATCTGAATGTTTTGATGCATGCTTAGTGCTCTAATTTCTGAAAGCCTCAACTCGTGAAGGAAGCAATGGCCCACTCTTGGATTTCACAAATCATGTCTGGACAGTGAGCTCAAGTGTAACAGCTGTTCTATTACTCTTCAGAATTTCAGGGCACCAGTATACAGGAATGATTCACTTCAGAAAATTCTGATTGGCATATGTGGTTTGGTTGAGGTTTATAACAGTGTGTTCTTGTGGTATCTAGATACATTTTCTGCAAGTGTTCAGGAATACCCAACAGAAGATAGTATCTTATGTGTGTCATTCTCTGTGTAATTAATTTTATTATTCATGGTCATACATGAAACTCAGTACTTTTTGTTTCATTTGGGAATTCTTACTTTCTTAAAAGTGTATTATACCACAAGTACATTGTACAGTAATAGCCCTTACAGACATGTTATAGTCCTGTAATTTTAAACAGAAAACTGAAGTTTCTTTCTATTAAAAGATAATGGAAATCTTTCCAAAACCATTAGAAATTCTTAACTATCATCTTACCACCTGGTATGTTTATTTTGGGGAATTATTGATCTCTCCACTTAAAGGTTTACTGACCTATCACTGGTATTTGTGTTCAGCAAAACCCCACCATTTTTGATAGGGAAAACCTGACTATGTAACTGTGGTATACTTTTAATACCAAATGTTCCTACCTAGTGATGCAAAGCAAACACAAGTAATAAGTGTTTCTTTTCATCTGCTTGACTTAAGGGATTTTACAGCTACTTACTTTCTAAAGGCCCTAAATATGCCAAAAGGCAGGAAAGGCACTGCTGCAGAAAACTGTTGGTGTTTTTTTTAAAATACTTCACTTATTATTCCTTTTCCAAATGCATTTTATGGCAAGGGATTTTGTCTATCTAGTTACACTTCGGATTATGTAAGTGTTAGTGGAGGTATATGTCTATTTAATTATTTAAATAAAAATACAGCATACTGACTGTGAGGATGCATTTATTCTTAGCAAAATTTTTATACAAAATAATTTAAATATGAACAGTCAAATAAAGGGTTGAAATGTTTTAATTAATGGTACAAATCGTGAGCTGCCATTTAATAAAAAATGGTCATAAAACAGAACACAGACAATGTTTTTGCCAGTTTTAAGTGTTTTTAGAGCATGAGCTATATTGTTCTGTGTTTTTACCGTGCGTATCACAATAGATCACAGTCCAAATCTGAAGTTATTCTGTGAGATTCTAAGGAAATAATATGTTCATCACACTGCTAGTTTGGGTTAAAGGGTTGTATGACAACAAGCTCAAAATTAAAGTTTATTGCTCTTGAAAATGCCAGATTCCAAATCCATCCTTCTTTTCTTGGTTAAAATCAGATTAGATTAGATTAAGGACAGGTTAGTTTAGAAGAGTTGCTTTGCAATTGCCAAACCTAAATCTCAGCTTTATTAACCGGGGAAATTTAGACTTTATTGTCTTAAATCCTGAAGGAATTTATAGGCATAGCTTGCAAAATCTAATATAGTTGGGAAACCAAAAACCTCCAGATTGCAATTATATTGCATTCTTGGTTTTCTCCTTTATTTTTAAACTGAAACTCTCTAAAAAAATCTAGTTGATTTAAGATTTCAATTCTCCCAATTAAGTTTGGGAGAACAAGCAGTCAAAATATGGGAGACACCCTAACGCAGAATGAAGTGTCAGGTTTATCATGGTTTATCCTGTCAGTATTGTTCTATAAGCTTAAGTATTTGTGACATGTGATGGGCACTTAAGGAAATTAGCTTAAAATTATTTTTTTTCTTTTTAAAAGTAAACAATGGTGCAATGAGGAAAATTGATTGCTTTTTATTAGCATTATTTGCAGTTAGTATAAGAGTTGTTCAGGAAGTGATGTTAATTTATGGGTTTTTCCTATTCAGTGTCCTTGATATCCTGGTCTTAATCATGGGGGTTGGGTTTTTTAATATGGTTTACTTCTGGAGGGGAGATACCTAGGTGTGCTCTTGAGATGTCTGCCATACATGAACTGTACAATTTAGACTTTAATACACATATTTATTTTATGGATAGCAAAATCAGGTTTTGCCCATAAAACAGGATTAGAATAGTGAACTAACACACTGTTATTTGTGCGTTTAAAAAAAATACTAAAATACTGATTTCAAAGCAAATAGACCTTCATAAACTTGTCATGGTGATATAGCATACAATTGACAAAGGTCCCAAGGTCATTCTAGGAAAACATTATTATTATTTGAAGACTTTGAACATGAAGACATGAACTACTTTTAGAGCCTGCTAATTAAAAACTTCAAAAGTAGAACAGAATTCTTTGTGATGAGAATCTGAAAATTAGTTAGATTTTTGAAACTAAGAGTTAACATTTTTCCTTGCTTAGTCACTGTGTAGAAAACTGGATGTCCAGCAACCTAATTGTTGCTATAGAAAGCAACAGGGGCTACTTGTGAAGGTGAAGGCATCTCATGGCATTTGCACTCATTGGTATGTCTAATTCATTTTTTTGCAGACATTGATGAATGTTCAGTGAATGGGTTGCTGTGTGATAATGGGCTCTGTCGAAACAGCCCTGGAAGTTACAGCTGCACTTGTCCAAAGGGTTACGTGTTCAGCACTGAGACAGACACATGTGAAGGTGAAAAATCTGCAAGTTGTGTTAATTTTATTGCTGATTACACAGCTTTAAAGCTAAATGATCACCAAAAAATTCCCGGCGGTGATGAATACCAGAGGAAAAGACAGAACTATGATACTGCATAAATCATTGCATCACTCTTGTAATTTCTCTGCAGCATTTTTTAGTCTTGCCATTGAATTTATTTAAAAGTTATCAGTTCGTTTTTACATGAAAATAATGTTTTTTCCTTAGATTAAACATTTTAGGCTGGAATAAAGGGGAATCTATGTTTGCCTTTGATCATATAGCAGGAACACCTAGTCTATAATGTTGGGAAATGCGTCTGTTTTGATCAGAGCTTCTTCTTTCTTTTCTCTCTTCAGTCTGTGGCAACAGTTAATTCTGGATCAAATTCTCATATTTATGATGTTTTGTGTGCTATCTGAACTCCTGGATCTGGATATTACTGCCTGGTGATACTAAAATTGCCCCTTTTTTTTTTTTACAGTATAATCCAAATTACTTTCTTATATTACTAGTGAACACAGATGTTAGAGCAAGGAAAATGTTACAAAGCAGAAACTCATGAGAAGTTTTAATTATAGAGAAAAAATAAGCAAGACCATACAAAAAAAGTCAAAATAGAAGCATTAGCTTTTGTCTTAATTTTCAATTAGTATTCATAATAGTAGAATTTTACTGGTATTTTGCATTATTTTTTATTAGGTTCCATGATCTGTAAATCTGAATGTTTGTTATAATTAGAAAGCTTTTATAGTAAAAAGTCTTGTATTTGAGGGAGCGATAGGGAAGCTGTAATCTTTTGTTATGGAATACCTGTTATGTGAACTGATGTCACAGTCCAGATCTGAAGCCATGGAAGACATTCTTGTCCTCAGCTGCTTGTTATTACTGATCAGACAGAAGTTACTGCCATGCAGCTAAACAAACACAGAGAAAGGGAAGTAGAAGCAGTCTGTAAGCCATTCTTGCTGTGTAAGATCAGTGAGGTTAACTTAAACCATTTCCTTAGCAGCATATGCTGAACAGGCTAACTTTGCACTGCAGCGAGTGAGGAGCACTCAGGTGCTCTTTGTCAGTTTTCAGCAGAGGAGTGGAAGCAAGCAACACGGTGTGGGGGGTAATAGTATTTTGAATGTCTCCAACTGTTTGGAATGTGAACATGTTTACATTCAAAACATCTCATTAAATACTTTAAATTCTGGCAGTATCAAATCATTCACCTCTTTACCACTTCTGTTCAAAACCAAATTATTTTCCTTTAAATTTTAGTACACATGTTTTTCAGAGTTCACTTTTAAAAGCTGAAATTTCTTCTCTCCCTGTATGTTACAAATTAGTAATACTTGTTTAGATTAGGGCTTTTCTTATATCATCCTCCCATGGATTTATAGTGCTCTTTCTGCAAGTAGTCTCAATGCCTAGTATTTATCCACAATGGTCAGGTGAAATTTATTCTTCAAGATCTGAGGTTTCCGTGTACTGAAAGATTTCTGTCTGTGAAAATAGCTTACTGTGTGCCCCTTAATGTGCATGTTTCATAAGGAATCTTCTAGACAGAAAAACTGGAATAGTATAGCAAAGGGAGATGGTCACTAACACGATGAAAAGACCATCAGCTTCAGAGCATAAAACTGACCGAAAGGTAGATGAATGAGATGCCAGAATGCAAACCATCTAGCCAAGTTATTGAAATAAAATGTATATAGATTTTCAAATATAAACCCTATTTTTCATGGTAATAGTAATATTAATATAAATATAAATACTGAAAATAAGGATTTGACAGCAACAACAGCAACAACAACAACGAAAAGGTGGTGTCGTGCTTGCATTAAGCCACCACAGCCTTAGAAAAGCAGCGATCTTTTCTGTCTTCTGGACATCCTTATCATCATTGCAGTGTGTTTTTTCTTGTGCTAGAAGAAATTTGGGGGATCATGATATAGTGAACCAAATCTGTGAGTCCCCTATCTTAGTTTTTTTGTGAGGATGGTTTAAGTGGAGAAGAGCATAAGGTAGAGTTATTCTGGAGTGCGAATGAATTTACTAGTTCATTTGAATTAATAGTTCACTGAGGAGAGGGTGACTTCTTTAGATGGCATTACCAGATGATACTGATTGCAAAACCATAGTATAAAAAAAAAAAAGGTCCAGTTAAGATAAAATCGAGTTCGCAGGAAAGTGTATGAAGAGAAGATACTGTCAGAAACCCAGATGGCTAGCATGTCACATCTTAATGGCACCTTAGCATGTTTTTCAGAGGAATGTGGCCACTTTTAGGTTTGTCTAAGGAAATCAGGTGCACTTGCCAAACTGTCAGTTTATGAATCAGTTCTAAAAACACGAGTAAAGAACCAATATTATTTCATCAAACTAACACGCCGTAGTGCCTCTGGCAGTCATCTAGTAATACAGGAATTGAGATATTTCACAATTTAGGCCAACCTGACCGTGAGGTGGAAAATGCACACACACCTTATTTAAGCAGGTTGTTATGTAAATTAAAAACTATTCTATTGTGAAAGAAAAAATACTGAGATGATAGTTCAAACTTACAAAGTTAAGGCTGTTTGGGTTTCTGTTTGGTGGGTTTGCTGAGATTTTAATTAATGTATTTAATCTGATTTTCTTTAACTTTTTTTTTAGATATTTGTAAAAAAACATATGTCTGTACATGTTTGAAATATTTGTACTGTGGCTCCTGCAAAGACTAATGAAGTAGTATTATTTGATATTCTAAAAGATTCTTATTCCCATTTCATGGTGGTCATCAGGTTTAGCTTGTTACTGAAAAAGGAGGATATTTCGTCATCTTAGAATAACAGTGGCTTTGGTTTTCTTGGCTGTATTTCATAATTCTGTATGTCTGCTGAACTCTGAGCAATGAGTTTGTGATTGGGCATGAATGCTCCCGTTTAAAATAAATATTTTTTTAATAGAAGAAAAAAATCCCATTTTCTCATTTAGGAAAAAAAAAAACCTCCAATAATGATCGTTAAGTAAAACTTCAGATTTGTAGGAGTATTTCCATTATGAACAAAGTGTAATCACCCTAAAATACTTCTAATTTTTTATTGTTTATAGAGCAGAATCTGAAGGATTTTCAGTTTCTTACAATGTTGTTATCTACATTAACTTACATAGGTGATGAAGGATCTGTCATCTTCATCTGAAATCTCATAGTTACATTGACGTTTAAATTTAGCAAATGAGGTAAAAAACCTGTATGGCAAAAAACCATCTACAAAACCTCTTAAATATACTATATTTTTTCTAATGTTGAGTGGGCTGGCAGTTGAGGAATAAATGAATCTCTTCCTGTCCAAATTCTGTTTTTAAAGAAACACTACGTATAATTTGTTTTGGAGTTACAGATTCACTAGCTGTAAAAAACTTCTGTAGCCAGAAGTTTTTTTGTGTTGTGCTCTGAAAATGCTCTGATGCTTATTACTCATCAGCATATTTTTAATGAAGATAACTCCCATCAGTAACTGTGAAGAAACAACAAGAACCTTCACTTTTTTCATTTATAGTTCAACTGAAATTTTTTATCAATTTATGGTGGGGAAAGGGGGAGTACTTTGAGGCTCCATAGTCTGTGAAAGTTGAGATTTTTACAACAGTCTCTGTGGTTTAGATTGTGTTTCCAGTGACATAACTAGTTAAACATAAAGCAGATGTGCTTTGAAGTTCATTTCCAGGAATGTACAGTGGGCTGTTTCAATTTTTGTTTCTCTGACATTTACAATGTACACTCACTTCACTTAGGAAGAAAAAATGTTTTTTTTAAAAAAAAAACCTGATAAATATTTTCATACATAGCAGTTCTTATTTAAAAATATAAAACAGTATTAGACTCAAGTTGGTTTCTTGCTCACTCTTGTTACAATTACCATTTAATATTATTACAAGAAGGTGTATGGAAACAATTTTTGGAGTTTGTTTACATTGTGCATGTGATACTTTTTCTCCTGATTCAGCAGAGCAATAATGCTGAATGCATTCATCCTTTAATTTATTTTTTTTTACTGAATTTTGGTTTTTGGGGAGCAGTCAATGCAATATTATAAGCTCATTAATACTCAATAACATTGAGTCAATTTTTTATTTGGTTTTGGGGTTTTTTGTTTGTTTGTTACCTAGCAAAGTGCTGAAGTATGTCAAAAGCAGAAAAGTAACAAACTGGTTTTTGGGGGTTAGAGGCCTAAAGTGTAGTCACAAGATAGTTTTAGAAACAACTAGAAGTTAATGGCTCCAGATACATGTACCTTAATCCTCAGTGAAAGCTGCTCTCCCTCTTTTTACTCCATAGAGAGAAATGGGATGAATATTCCTTTGCCTGCAGTAGGGCAAAGTGAAATGAGGAGTCTGGTTCCACAATACATCCTCCCTCGTCCCTGGGCTTCGCACGCAGTTTCTGCCATTCTCATCCCAGAAGATGGAAAGTGACTCTTTGCCTGTGTGATCAGTGAGGGGCTGGCACGGCACTTGAGAAGGGTGGAAATGGAGACTGGGAGAAAAAAGAGGAGGAAAGGTGAAAGGGCCATGTACCCTATGGATGGCAGCAACCTGGCAGATAGAGTCAGCTGTTTTGCCACATTTGATGCAAACTTGTGTGAGGATTTAGACTAGATCACTTTGGCTTGAAATGGACAGGCAGTTCTCCCAGTCTGGGAAGTGGTCAGCTCTCACAATGGTGTATCACCTTTCTGTTCTTCCCCATTTTTGCACTCCCATATGTTCAGTTTGAGTATTTTTTTCTCCTTTCACTGTCTTTGGACAGAGAATGAAGAATGTGACCTATGAAGTCAGTAGGGCTGCTTCACTCTTCATAAGGTATTGACCTTCAGATGCCTTGGCCCCCCTATCTCCACTTATTCATTTATCTTTGGCTTTAGTTTTGGGGACATCAGCTTCCAGGTGTGCCCCTCAACTATTTTTTCTTAGGTTTGGGTTTCTTCTTAACTCTGAAAACCCGAAATACAAGATGTGTTTTCCTAGAAGAAAATGGATTGTAAACCTAACTTGTTAAATATCAGGGAGAACTAAAGATAGGCACGATAACCTGATATTACATCTATAAATGTGAAGTGTTTTAAGTTTCATGCATTTTTTTATATTCTAAATATGATTGAAGTGATGTTTTGGTTAGTGGCAACTATGCGTATTACAGTGTTTTGTCTTGCACATTTGTTGTGTATGTGCAGACCTGTGTGTGTTTGGGCTGCCAGTTGTTAAAAGCATATGACACTTTACATGAAAATCAACAGCTTTCAGCTATAAATATCTTAATCAGAATTCAAGCACTTGACCTGTAGTTTTCTTCACTGGGTGTCTGAGTCAGACTAGGTTTTAATTTTGCCTTTAAAAAATTTAGACAAAACTTTTTGTTCATTTCCAATAAAATGTTGATTTGTGTGTTTAGAAATGTGCAAACCTTGTGACTTTTTCTTTAAAAAGCTGTTACTCCTCTATACTGTTGCAGCTTGTAATTTCTTGTGTAGCATTTGTGTCAGAATAGTTCCTCTTTACTCTGAAAATGTGCTCAGAAGTGGCCAAGTTGTAAGTCTCATTTTGCATGTGCTCAGTGAAGACTATTTTTGGTGTCCAAAAACCCCAAAGAGTCTGTGGCACAGATTATGTCTGGTCCCTTATGGGAACTTCTCTGAAGTTGTTTCTCAGCTAAAAGTAGGGGAAGAGCACTTGCAACTGACTGGACAGAGGATGATATCTGCATAAAAGCAGTGACATAAATGCAGAGACTGATCAAAGATCCCTCTGACCCACAACAGAGCAAGTATGCAACAATATTTTCCAAAAGTACTCTCTGAATCCACAACAGTTGTTGTTCAGGGACTTCTGACATTTGATGTGGGATATTCATCTTATACAGACCTTGGTGAATTTATCTCTCATGAATTTGTCCAGATTGCCATTGATTAATGCAAGCCTTCAATATCCTAGGGGAAGGATTTTCAGTTTCTCTACCTGTTGTGGAAAGAACCATTTCTTTACTTGTTTTTCTACTAGCCAGCTTCATTCGATGTCCCTTTGTTCTAGGACTTCAAAAGACAATGAAGATTTGATGCCTTTGACAGAGATAAACTGTATATAGCTTAAATTTAGTTAATTTGTCCTGTCTTTTCTATTTTTTTTGTTTTTTTTTTTTTAAAGTTAGACAACTACTGAAAATAACATGGCAGGTGGAAAGGAAGAAGAAGTGTACCCTTCTCCAAGACATTTCTATTCAGAGAATTGACATATAGAACATATTTAAGATGATGTCTTTGTCTCAGTGTGTTCTGAATCTAATTGTGGGAACCAGGTATTTGGTTTCTCTGCAAAAGCAGCAAAGACTGCTCTTCACTACCAGCTATTGCTGGCTGGGGAGAGAGCAGGGGGCTAGGGATGCAAGGAGCGTACCTTGGATAATAAAACCTCAGGTAATAAAGTCTGAAATGTATTTACAGGGAGGAAGAGGGCTGCAGAGCAGATAAATGTTGGCAAGCCCTCCAGATTGCCAGCTCAAATACAGAAGGACTTAGAACACCCTCTGTCAGTACTAACTGGCTTTCTAGATCTACTTGATTACCTCTGTACTGCACTTCCTGGCCCATCAAGTCAGTACATGAACAGTGCTGGACTCAGCCTGGCCCCACCTGCTCGTACACCCTGCTGCATTCTCCATAGGAAGCTGTCTCAGGACCCAACTTTAGACAACACAACCAACTCTGTCTAAGCAGGCTGTTTGCAGAGAAACGTGGAAGCTCTGCCTAATGCCCCGTGTGACTTCTCAGGCCATAGTAGGACGGGGTTTACCAGTTTGGGTGCTGCTGACGCAGTTAGCCCAGTACAGCCAGCCATCAAACTGTGTGGTTGTGTTCATGTAATACACTGTCCTGACCTGGTAAGGCCTCCTAGATTTTATGTCTCTGTATCTGTGTGTGATTGATGTGTAAACTGGGTAATCCACAATTTTAAGAGTAGACTTGATAAACATAAAGCTCTGTTGCTATTAAAAAACTTTCTGGTGTTCAAGGACAAGTCCTATTTGCTCTTTGTAGGTAATTCCAGTAAAGGGACTGTGAAAATCGGCTTTTAAAGTAAGTGCTAGCTTTTGGCGTGAAGAGAGAGCTCAGTTTCCTAAGTTTGCTGATTTCTGGGCATTTTCCGTCTCTTTTTTTTTTTCTTTCTTTTTTTGGTGAGCATTTTAAACATGTATTGCTTCCCATGACACCAGAATATCATGAAAAAATATGTATCTAGTGAAACAAAGGCTTGATGCATCATAACATATCAAATAGCAAACAGTACCTTTTTCACTACTTCTAAAAAATATGGAAGGTATTTTAGTTTGTCTTGAAAATGATCTCTTGATGCCATTAATGTTTCCAGGGCTTAACTAGATCCTGCATTAATTTATAATTAATTTAAATCAGGCTATTTTAGTTTATGGATATGACATTATTCCTCAAGCACTACTAGCAAACATAAGGAAGCACTAAACAGTTTTATTTCAGGCCCACCAAAGGAACCATCTGGCTGGATAAGAATGCATGGCTTGATGAAGGACCCAAATCAAACAATTAAATTGGTTGAATTCAAGAAGAAATGGTGGATATGCATCTGCAGTTGTTCTTCGAAAGAATTAGCTAGTATTGTTTTAATCTTAAAACTGATTTCACTTTAAACAAAAAAATAATCAGCAAATAATACTGTCTGCAAAGGTCCTGTTCTTACAGTTGAACAGGCTTAAAAAACTCACAGGGGTAATAAGTAGAAGGAGTTAGGGACTAGACAGAAGTACCGTTTACAGTATTCCAGTTTCAACTCCTATTTCTTGAACGCTTTCCAGAACTAGTGGATTGCAGCCAGCACTGTATACATTTTGCTTCTGACAGAGCTTTCTTAATTCTTCCAAAGCCTCATGGAGCCGTAAATGAGAGAAACAATAAGGCCTTTGTTTGTGCACTGCATGTTGTGGCTGGAAATGCATTGCATTCTATGAAAAAAAAAAGTTTTGTTTTCTCAGAGGACAGTTATAATTGATGCTGGAAAACTTTATAGTCCAAATTGTTTGAAATTACTGTCTTTGTAGGAAAGACCCATTTAATTAACACATTCAAAATATGTGTACCTATATTTATGCACATACATGCTACCTGCCTGTCCCTGTGTCTTTTTAATGTCATGCTGAGAGAAGCCAGGGGGAGGGCAAAATATACCAGGCAGTCTTGGCAAATCATGGTTCACAGCAGCATTTACACTGTATAATATTTTCCAGAAGCACATCGTAGTTCTAAGAGTGCCTTTTGTTTCTGGATTATAGATGTAAATGAATGTGAAAGCAGCCCGTGTGTCAATGGTGCCTGCAGGAACAATCTTGGATCTTTCAATTGTGAATGTTCACCTGGCAGCAAGCTGGACTCTACAGGACTGATATGTATTGGTGGGTATTTCCTTTTGTTATTTTCTCTTTTTCTTACTAACTTGAAAAACATTGATCATATTGATTAATTAAGAAAACAATGTATTTGAGTAGTTTCCCTGTGATAGCAGACAATATGTCTGGTTCCGTAGGTAAGACCAAACAAACACGTACTAATTTGATTGATTCCATGGGAGCAGGAGGAAACTGAAAGAAACATTCCTGAGGATGTCCCAACTATGGTTAAAATGGTGAGATGCAGGTATCAATTGATGGGAGAGAATGGGGATGTCTTATTAAAAATAATTATCTTGTCCTATAGGGGAATGACAGTATGAGTTAAGCTATAGGTGCTTAGTTTGGTAGTTAAAGAGACTGTAAAGCAGAAATGCCCAGACAGTTCTTTGGCCACTTTTAAATCTGATACAAGAAAGCAAGTAAAACTGGAGGAACATCTACTCAAATAGTGATAGAAGAGCACATGGCTTCTAGGGTTCAGGACATTTTTCATGAACTGTGAAGAGTGACTTTCCCAGCTATAAGAAAACATTAATGGCTTTTGAATTCTAGCACGATCTCATAGCTCTTTGCAGGAAGGTGGTAAAGGTGTGTAAGACAGATCCGAGTTTGTCAGGGTCCCTACCTCTGGAGCAGACACGTAAGAGTATTTTCTTGTATACGTATATATGCACACTATATATGTGGATATATATATATACACACATATACACATGCACACACTAGATTTTTATATATATATATATATACACATAAATAAATAATGTTAGTATCTTTTGAGGATTCTGTTGCATTGAAAAAAACCAGAGCGCTGCACAGAAGTTAGCAGCAACACTTGTCTGCAAGATGTCATTGTCATTATCTTTGGAAGTCATTAATTAATATTCTTTTCCTTGCCTTTCCAAGAAAACTCAAAGGATTGGAGACATCTGTACTTCTCAGTTGATCACAAGCTGCCATTGTGTCATCTTGTGTAATATAACTGAAGTCATGGTAGGGTATGTGGGATAAATTGGATTGGAGTGTCATTAATAAATGGGTGATGCTAATTTTAAATGTTCCTTTTATTTTAAGATGGATTTGTCGGGTGTTCTTCGTTGAACTTTCTTGCTCTGACAAAATCTTCTTAACATAGGAAATTGAATGCAAAGACTCGAGTTTCCATTTAATGATGGAGTCTGTCTATGCCTTAGTATGTTTTTTAAGGGTATGTTACTTTTCAGACCAAGTCTTCTCTTAGATTTCGTTGTAGCATCACTGGCCGCTAAAGTTTAGTATTACTTTTGTTCTTTTTTACATTGTGCTAATTTCTTGATAGGACCACACTAAGATATCCTTTTTTGCACTACTCACTTTTAATCTTGTTGTGTTCTCACACCAAAGGTGCTACAAGTTCGCTAAGGGCCTAATTATAACAGTGTTCTGGATTTAGTTTGCAAATGGTTTCCATTGGAATGTTTACAGTGTGAGGTCCCATTTGGCCTGAATATTAGTGATAAGTAACATAAAATGGAAACAAAATAAATACCTGAACAGTCAGATAAAAAGTGAAGAATAGAAGCCACCTGTATACTGTGAGCCTAATCATTAATTTTTCACATTGATCAAAATAATCTGAGGAAGAGTTTTATGTACTACAGGTGAGAATATGTTAGGACAAAAGGGTCAGAAGTGCAGCTAATGTGAGACGTACAGATTTATACTGCTAGACCCCAGTCATATGTTTTTCTACTTTAGCAAAATTTCCATTGAAGTTGGTAGTGATGAGAGAAGGGCAGGCTGGATTGCTGAAAAGTGAGTAAGGGGTTGGAAGTTACAGGTAGTTTACTGTGTGAAAAACTTGCAAATGCTCTTTTTGAATGTATGCCATTTAAAATCTGTAAAGTAGAGAAAGCATGTTTTTTCCCATTACCACTGCAGTGCAAGATTTGTGTATTCAATGTCTTTGCCCTAATTTTTTACCAAATTGCTCCTGCAAAGCATTCCTGTAGCATCAGAGATTGTGGTGGGTTTACCCTTGGCTAAGAGCCAGCCCCACACAGCCCGTTCACTTACCTGTCCCCCTCCCAGGGATGGGGGAGAGAATTAAAGCAGTAAAGGGGAAAAAAGATTTGTGGGTTGAGATAAGAACAATTTAATAACTAAACTACAATAAAAAATCATATGCCAAAACATAAAACTATGGCTAAAACAGTGTTGTGGTTTGGGAATTTATTGTATTCTTCATAGGAATGATCAAAAGAAGGCAATGTCAGATTCTGACCCCTCTCTAGTTTTTCTAGTTTAATTGCAAATTTGCTCTCATGTCAGAATCAGAATCAGTCCTACATTATAAGAGGAAGTTTTTCTTTCATTCATGATGATGATTGGAGTTATTGAACTTAAAAAAGGCATAAAATGTTTATGTAAAAGCACATGAGAACACTGTTAGAATAAGAAAGGGTTAACATAACATCACTGTTAATTTTATTTTTACAATTTATTGCTCCAATGCGTTTGTTGCTACATGGTCTTATTGCAGATTTTCACTGTCTTGTGGAGTCAGGTCACATACGGCACGTTAGACTGATGTTATATGGAGAAGCTATATGGCTGATGCATGTTCTTTACTCAGTTTGTGGAGAGAAGACTTCAATCTGTCAGTTCCTTTGGTTCCTTTGCACCCTCTGCTCAGCCTCAAGGCTGACGAACCAGGTGGCTTGAGCCATTTGCATTGATATTACCTGTAGAATTGGGCATAGATGTGAGCTGTTTGTCTGTTTGAGCTTTCCTGGGTAGAAAAAAATGGCTTGCTCAAATTACAGACAGAATTCAAGTCACAACATTTCTGCTCAAATTTAAGCTCAAACCTCCAGCAAATGAGTGTTGTTAGTTCAGCATTTACAGTAAAAGCATTCAGCAAAAATGTTGACATATTTTGCATTTATTTTGCTTGCACACTGACAGTGTTTGCAGTATTGAGGCTGCACTCTTAGAGACAAAGAGGAATTTTTTTTGAAATACATCTGTTGGTGTTACAAGTGTTACATTCCTATTTTGGGAGCTGCTCAGATGGTAGGGATACTGCCATTTGTGCTTTTTGAAATGTGCACTTAATACATGCTTTCTATGCATGTTTTAGTTGAGATTTGTGGAATTCATATAGTGCAAAATAAGTAGGCTACCATCTGCCTGTAGTATGCATATATTCTTCTTCAAGTCAGAATCAAAGAGATGCAAGCAACAGAAAGAATGCTTTGATGCTGGATGATTTTTTCACCAAAGTAAGTCACTGTGACTGCCCATTGTAGATTTTGTGTGGACAAGAGAAATTATATAAAATAAAGGAAATTCACTCATAGCCTGAAAAAGATAAGACAAACAGACTTTGTCAGGATAATATAGATACAACTGGTGTGAGGAAAGTCACCTGCTAATTTATATAGTTAAAATAATTTTTGATATATTAGTTTGATTTTCCCATCCTGTAAAGTCGGCTACTAAAAATAAATAATATTGAGCTCAAGAAACTTTAGTGAATAAAGCACTAGAAGCATTTACATTTTGATAACATAAAGCAGAGACATCAACATATGTCAGCAAGCTGGACATGGCATGAAAGAGCAGATAAAGAACCTATATTCCGCCTCCCCATGTTGGTTCCTGAATATGGGACATATGATGTCTTGACTGTTAGCTAAAGGCAGATCAAGGTGTGGGAAAGATAGGTCGTGCTCTCTGTGGTCTACATAATTTTATAACATGACAATATTGTAGAAAAAGTTGGAAGTTGTTTGAAAAAAATAAGAGGGAATGGTTCTATCTTAAACACGTTGCTCCTAAACATGAAGTAGTAGTAATACTGATCAACAGCAACTTATAGATGGTCTGGCTTTTTGTATGTATACAGAAATCTTAAAGCCCAATCCTATTCCTGTTTCGTTAGTCATCTCATTAAATTTGTCTGGGCCACTTGCTTGTCTTTGAACTCTTGAGTATGCACATGCATTTAAACTCTACCCAGGCTGACCTCTCAGTCTGCTTTTGCTATCTGATCACAAAGGTTGTTGTCTGCTTCAAGAAATTTTATACCATTTGAGTGTAACATTGTAAAGGTACTGAGACAAGGTGCTGTAGGTACAACTTTTAAAGTACATGACTGATTTAGGATCTAACTGATATTTTTTTAAATGTGTTGGGCGCTGAAAGTATGGATTTTAAGACTTGGGTACCCGAAAGAGAATTTCAGAGGATTTCAGGCAGCAGAGACCACACTTACGGCTGAAAATCTCCACTCTGCTCAGTGGCTGTCTAGCATGGGCAGCAGTCAGGAGGTGCTGCCTGACATGTCTGGGCATTGCTGGAACAGGCTTGCCCAGAGCTGGTCTGGGTTCCCAACCTGCCAATCCAATTTGTGATTCAGGAGCTGGGTGTGCTGGGGCTGAGCCCTGGGGAACAGAGAGTGGAGTATAACTTAACAGGTTTCTTCAAAGCATAGCTAATGCACCAGCAGAACCAGACCCCTAAAAGAATATTGTACGCTCCTGTCCCCCACATTTTAATCTTTTTTTCCTTCCTGACAAACTTGAAGGTTCACAGAGTGAGACAGGCAAGAACACCTGGATTTCATAACCCAGTGGTTCAGGCAGTCAGCTGGAAGGGGGAGTCCCAGGTTGTGATCTCTGCTTTTGTTGTAACTTCTGTATTTCAGACTGATGAGTCACTAGATTAAAAAAAATAATAAATCCGTTGTAGTATTTGAAGGCTCTCTGCTAGCTGTGGGACATGAACTATAAAATGCCTCAAGCAGTGTGCTCTATTGCTCAGTTTTAATAGTAGTATTATTCCTTTCCACCACTTTTAAACTAAAATGTGTGCAAAATTATCCTATTGAAAAGTTTTCTTTTAAAAGAGAACCTGTACTCCCTTGGTACTCTGTCTACTGGTAGCATGAACATGGCATGCCAGCTCTTTTTTCTGTGACAATTCTATATTGTTTTCTATTCCACTGCAGATAGCCTGAAGGGGACTTGCTGGCTTACCATCCAAGACGGTCGCTGTGAAGTCAACATCAATGGTGCTACACTGAAATCTGAATGTTGTGCTACCTTAGGAGCAGCTTGGGGCAGCCCATGTGAGCGGTGTGAATTAGGTATGCTCTCATATCCTACATCTTTTGGGAGAAGAGAGGTACCCCTAGATAAATTCGAATCATTTTCTGTACAGAAAACAAACAAACAGACAACACAAAATATCTATGAAATTAACTTGTCTCGTTTAGCATCACTTGTAATCTCCACCATCAGAGATCATTCTACTAACTTTGAAGTTACCAGAAAGTAACATGTGAATAAATCTTTTAATAATTACATATGTTTCATCTCCACAGGGACTGTGCATTGGTGAAGGGAAGGACTACAATAATAAAGTGAAATATCTGGTAAAAGTCTTATGGGATTTTTTATGTTGCAGGATGTTAACACTTTTTCCAGCTGTTCTGAAACACTTAGCTTCTGTACAATTATTGATTGCGGAACAGTACTATTAGATTGCCGTAC